TAACAATTCTAACCTCACTGTCCCACACTTTCTCAAAATCCAGTTGTTTCTAGTCTTCCATAGCCACCACAGAAGTTTGGTAGAAAGACTTATTTTGTCAACCATTCAACTTTGCCATACAATTGGATTTTGGAGCATTACAATATTTAATGGCTCGTTTTGTGCATCTACAAAAAATTCAAGGCCCATAGTAGATGTGTTCAATTAGACATGTCCATGTCCACGGGCCGAAACGGCCCGTGAACCTGTCCCGGCCAGGCCCTGAACTGTCCCGGTCTGGCCTGAATCGAACCCTTTAGGTCGCGGTTCGGTCCGATTCACAATTTCTTTTTTGGACTCTGTTTGTAGTAAATTTGGGTAGTTGGTAACCGAGCTACTCGAACTCGTGTCGTTCTCAAAGGAAGACTATTCGGACACGGATTCAAACAACGATCGACTCACACAAGTAAAAGAAATAAAAATCCTAAACACTCTACTCGCAATTTAGGGTTTGGATTAAGCTAAAAGTGGCAACTCTAAACTAAACGAGAGCAAGATTCAAACTATATCGCAAGAAAGACCTCAAATTGCAAGAACAAGGAAAATAAAGAGAAAAAATAATAAGGCACTCCTAGACCCGAGATGGAAGGAAGGCACTCATAGGATCGAGAACATGCAACCAAACGATCGTCACTCGTGATAAATTAATCGACCTCTCAATCAATTCTCGCTCACGCAATCAATAATAAAATCACATAATCCCTAGCCTACGAGGATGATAGCATAATCGACTCATGGGCGTGCCTATCTTAACCGTAGAATGAATCCAATAAGTAAAGACAAGCAAGACTCATGAAATCATGGACCTTAAACGAAGTTTCCAAGTCTTTAGTGCATCCACGAGAAGAAATAAGCCGAAAAGTTGTAATTTTGATGGAAAAATATTACAATAAAAATAGGGCCTTGGAGCACTTAAAGAGATAAGAGAGGAAAAACCTAAAAAAAAAACTATATCAAATGAGGAATTCTCTTCAAAATACAAAGCACATTGTCTATTTATAGCTACACCACAAACACACACTAAAACATACACATTTAATAAGAAAAACTCGCAGGATAGGTCGAACTTGCTAGCAAAAGTCGGGTTTTCGCTGGCAAGGTCTAGATCGCGAGTGTTGGCTTGGGCAATGGACACTCGCGGGCTGGGCAGGGCTTCGCGGGCGCGGGCGTGGGAACTCGGTGGCAAGGCGCACACTGGGAGACTCGCGGGATAGCTCAAGTTTGCGCGCGCGGAAGAGAAACTTGCGGGCAGGCGCTGGAGCTGGAGAACTCGCGGGATAGAAGCTTTTCGCGGGCACGAGTAGTGTAAGTCGCGGGCAGGAGCATGGCGCAGCAGGCATGGACTCGCGGGTTAGGGCTCGTTCGCACACGCGGAATGCCAACTTGCGGGCTGGGGCGCATTTGCGCGCGCGGCTGTGGACTCGCGGGCGCGAGTTCTCGGCGCTGAACTGCCGTTTCTTGGTCCCGGTGCCCTCTTGAAGCTCGGCTCGCCCTAATTTCTCGCACACTTCTCTGATTGACTTGAAACTTTGGCCCACGCTTCTCAAATCTTCTTCTCCTCGTCTTGAGATGTGTAAATGGGTGTCACCACGCAATTAATAAATTTTCTCGAAATGGCTCGGAAATGGTTCGCGTGACTAGGACATGGTTCGGACGGCTCAAAAGTATCTCAGAAATGGCTCGTTTCCCAAAAACATAGTAATGATGGACCTGTTCAATACAAAAAAGACAAGAAAAAATACGCGAATCCATAAAAACACGATACGAGAATAAAAATGCACAAAACACGATATATGGACCGGTCGGCACTAAAACGGACCTAAAAATACTAAACTAAAACACATAAAACACACGAAGTTAAGCACAAAAACACAATAAACAGACCCGTCGGTCCGGGCTAGGTCGATTTGGGCCGCGGGTCGGACGACGGGCCACAGTGTTATTTTTCCTTTTTTTAAGGGTCGTGCTGTATGTAATAGCCCAGCTCACCCGCTACAGAATATTGTCCGCTTTGGGTATACACCAGATCATTCCCTCATGGTTTTGCTTTTTGGGAGCTAGCTCACCAAAACGCGTCCTGTAGGTTGAGGTGTCCACAGCCACTTATATGGCATGCTTCGTTCTCCTCAACAACCGATGTGGGACATCTTTTACTAGATTCCACCCCCATTGGAGGGCCCAGCGTCCCCGCTGGCACACCAGTCCGGGTACTGGCTCTGATACCATATGTAATAGCCCAGCTCACCCGCTACAGAATATTGTCCGCTTTGGGTATACACCAGATCATTCCCTCACGGTTTTGCTTTTTGGGAGCTAGCTCACCAAAAGGCGTCCTGTAGGTTGAGGTGTCCACAGCCACTTATATGGCATGCTTCGTTCTCCTCAACAACCGATGTGGGACATCTTTTACTAGATACTCGTGAACCGCCAGGTCGGTGAACCGGCAGTTCAGGGCCGGTTCTATGAACTGGCCCATAGTTTATTTCGGGTAGGTCACGGGCCATGATACTGAAGCCTGCGGCGGGCCGGGCCGGGCTGGCCACCTCTATGTTCAATGGTTGGCCGGTTCACGACTCGGTCCGGCCCACCGGGTCGGCGGGCCTCAAATGTTGGGTCCGGAACCGGCCTGGATATACCTAAGGGCCGGTTAAAAAAAAATAGTAAAAAAAATCAACTATGACCCGTCGAAAAACCCGGAACTAGCCCGGCGGGTCAAAAAGGCAAAAAGATCGACCTTGAACCGGCCCTTAAAGTCTAAGGGTCCGGTTCATAAACCGGCACAACAAGAAAATGATGAAATTTCAACAGAAATATATTCCAATAGAATTATTCCAGCGACAATTCTAACGGATATTTCAATACTATTATTCCCGTTGGAATTTTTCAATAGATTCCAACGTAAATTTCAACAAAAATATTATGTTGGAATGAGTTTTCCATTGGAATTTCCGTTGGATATTGACAATTCGAACGATAGATTTTCCACCGGGTTGAAAATAAAAATTTCAACGGAAATTGTATTTTCCAACGAAAATTCCTACGGTAAAAAATCGTTAGAAATATAGTTGTTGGAATCATCAAATTTCATCTAAAATTCCAATGAAAGACACATTCCAACGATTTCCGTTTGGAATCATTCCAACAGAAGCTATACCATTGGAATCTCCGTTGAAATTTCCATTGGAATATATTACTATAGAATTTTCGCTGGAATATAACAATTTTTTGTAGTGGGCGGTTTCCGGCCCGTTCCCAGCCGGGTTGACCCGTGGCCATCTCTAGTCCATAGTTATAATTTATATGTATAAATTATAAATTACATCAGCCAGACAAATTAAACAGGCTCTCACAATGTAATGTCATCAAAAGGCATGTGCACCACACATGAGTAACATTGACGACGTACAACATGTAGGTACAAATTTAAAGCACATGAGTGGTCACATCAGGTTAGTAAGTATATTGGCTAAAAATAATAATTATATTCAAAAGGCCATTGAATTTAATGCATTTCACTTGTTATTGCAATTTTGCAACAACCATTGCATTTAAAGAATGTGAGTAATAAATAATAACTCGATCACCATGTACGGTTCTTCTGCTGAGGAATTCCATGTGAGGTTGTGAGAAACAAGAATATAACGCATGAATAAATGAATATTAGTAATCTATGTTTTGGTTGGACATTTATATTTTCCTATATATATATATATGTGTGTGGGAAATGCTAAGGTCTCTGTTATGCCACACAAACCTGGACCGCTGGACCGCTCCTCCTCGAACCGGGCTACGTCTCCTTGATCGCCGGCACCTGCAAAACACGCCGGGGGTGGACCCGGCGCGAACACTCCGACGCTCAAGTCAGTGGTGATCCGAAGAAAAAGCGGCAGAGTAACGAGAGAATTTGTATGTGTATGTTGTGTAAATGAAATAACCTGCGCCCCTTTTATAGATGAGGACATGTAGAGACCGTAGAGTTCTTATCATAATAGGAGTCTTCCCATCAGATTAGGTCAAAGTCCTAAGAATCCTTGAGGTTGCGAACCTCTTCATGACTTGAATACGATACCACCTTTGGGTTCCGGTCACCTCAATGGGATGTCCAGCTGCTTAGGTGCCCAGGTGCTGCCTAGTCCACGTTGAGCTAGGCTCTGCTGACCACCCACGTGACTAACCTCCGCCGACCACCCAGGTAACTAGCCTCCGCCGACCACCCATATACCCCAAAGGTACCATGGGCTATGCCTACCAGATAGGACCACCCGGCTGAGTGCGACTAGAACCCGGATCACAACCGGTCCTGCATGAGCCGCTACTAACGACCACATCAGTCTCGTTACGGAATCATTCCGTCATATTTTTATAACCGTTAGATCATCATGTAACCGTCAGAGATGGTTGATCTAACAATTACAAACTAGTATAAGGGAATAGTTCCGTAACGGGACCGTAGCATCTTACTATATATATGTATATATACTCTTAAGTAAAAGTAAAAATGTGATACAACTAACAAATAAATTTTTTCAAAAAAATATTATATTGCATCATATAAGAATGTATTTTTGTTAAATATATAAAAAGGTATATGATAGGTCAAAACCGGTTGATAGATGATTTTTTTTATTATTTATTATTATTAACGAATCATTAATTTCCTGAATTCTAATGTTTAATTATTTGTTCAAAAGGAATAAAGAGTTTTACTTTATTAACTCATTATTCAAAACTATTAATGTTAATTAATTATAGTGTCCATTTGTCATTTGTGTTAATCTTTTTTGGGCTATATTAGACAGGTCATATACATGTGAGGTTGTTTGGTAGCTTAGATTTTCTACTGCTATATAACCCCCATTTAAGTCGTAGTTTATAGGCAACTAAAATACAAAAAACACGCAAAAGGGAAAGGAAAAAAAAAAAAAAA